CATTTTTTCCTTGACTCTTTTATTCATCTATTCTGTCATTCTGTCATATGTTCTGTTCAGTCATTCTTACATTCATCCATTCATTCATGTATTCGTTTAAACATTCACTCACTCACTCACTCTTGTTTGTACATAATTTCCAGATGAATATGTTGCAATTTTTTTGGTTACATTACCTCTCAAGTATAGATGTGAGTGTGTGTGTGTGTGTTGTTTTGAATTGTATTTTTGTATTTTGGCTAATACGTCATCATCTTCATCACTCCATAATTATCACCAGCTTTACCATCATCTTCAGTCTTCATTACCATCCAAAATTTGTATTTGAAGATCTGAAAACCGGATTGTTATTGGATCATAATTCATTTTAGTCATAACATTGGAATCCATTTAATAATGTTCATCATGATGAATTTCAATGTTATCCTTCCATTCATCCATCCATCTATCCATCCATCTATTCATTCATTTATCTGTTTAGTCATTTCATTGGTTTATTTGTTACTTCTTTTATTTATTAAAATAAATTGATTCTTTCATCTGTTTGTTCGTTTGTTCATTCAATGATTCACTCAAACAATGTTCATTTATTCATTGGTCCATCTCTCCATTCATTCATTCATTCATTCATTCATTCATTCATTCATTCATTCATTCATTCATTCATTCATTCATTCATTCATTCATTCATTCATTCATTCATTCATTCATTTATACATTCATTCATTCATTCCTTTCTCTGCCAGTTCATTTACTGAATACAACACTTAATCCTATAATAATTCAACTTCAATCTTAAAAATATATACTGAAAGAAATTGTTTTTTTACGTGTTTGTATATGTTTTGTTTATTTGTTTGTTTGTTTGTTTGTATGTTTGTTTGTTTGTGTGTGTGCTCGTGGGTTTTCACAAAAATAAAATCACCAATATGTATACATGCAAACCAACAAACAAACAAGTACATACACGCGGGTATACACATACAAAACGTTTGTATACATTTGTATAACTTCAAACAAACAAGTAAATACACGTATGTGTATACATACACATACAAAATGTTTGTATACATTTTGTACACATACAAAACTTTTGTATAAGTTCGTACAACTTCTTTTAAACGGAAGAAATTAATTTTTTATTCTTCAACAATTTTTTTTACTTTCACTCACTAACTACACTTACAGATATAAGCCAAGTTACTGAAAGCCTGAAGCACCTTAAAAATTTACAAGTTCTCGACTTGAGTTGCAATCCGCTACAGGAGTATTTATGATCTTTGGTTTCTTGGCGTTGTCATCATCGTCGTTATCATCATAATCATCATCTTCATTATTATTATTGTTGTTGTTTTTATTGTTATTAATTTATAATTGTTATTGCATATATGTTAATTTTTTTTATTTAATCACCATGACGTGGCAAATTATCATCGTTATCAGTTTAGTATCATCATCATCATCATCAGTTTCGTATCATCATCATCGGCAGCGGCAGCAACATCATCATGAATACCATCATCATCATTACGTTCATTATCATCATCATTACCGCCATCATCATCATTGTCACCATAGTTACTACCATTATTATCTCCTGTCACCATCATCATCATCCTAATTGTTTTCATCATCACCATCATCACCACCACCATCGTCACCACCATCATCATCACCACCATCATCATCACCAACAACAACAGCCTGCCCTCATCATTCACGACCCTGAAGAACTTGACGGTCCTCAACCTCAATGACATCTCCATTGCGAGGCTGCCTTCTGACATTGGAAAGTTAGTCACCACCAACATGATACTGATGATGATGGTGGTAATGATTATGATGATGGTGATGGTGACGACGCTGATGATGAAGTGTTGCTGCATATTAATAGCATAATTCTCCTTGAAAAATTGTTGAAAATACTGATAACATGTTTTTATTCAATTAATTTATGACTTTCTTTCACTCTTTCTCTCACTCTCTCTTTTTCCCTCTCTCTGTCTCTCTCCCTATCTTTCTCTCTTATGTTATTTTTTCATTATCACTTCACCAATACAATGCCATTGTCATATCATTATTTTTTACTAGAATTAATTTGTGCTTGGGATGATGATGATGGTGACGATGATGGTGACAATGATAGTGAGTGACGACGATGATAGTGATAATAGCAAGGATGGTGGTGATAATTACGATGGTGAGGATGATGATGACGAGGTGATAATTGTAGTATTACGTGTTTATTAACTCTTCGGTAGGATGGATGGATGGTTGTGCTGTGATTGTCGTAATGAGGCTTTAAAGGGAAAGGAAATTGAAAAAATTTACGAATTTACATGCACACACACACACACACACACACACACACACACAGACGTATAAGCACTTGCATACGGACATACATTGGCGATACAAACGCACTATTTCACGTGTATAATTGTATACAGTTATACACTTACTCATACAAACACAGATACACACTTACGCATACACACACGCGCGCACACACACACATACAAAAATGTCAATAATTTGAAGAAAAAATACCTTCACACACACACATATGCACATTTATTTATTAAAATATTTATTAATGCTGCACTAAATAAAATTCAAGGTAGCAACTAACAACATATCCTTATTTGTTTGAAGTAAACAAACACATACATACTTAAATACAATCACTCACATACACACGCACGCATAATCACACGTGTACTTACGTTTGATTATGTGTGCGACATAAATATACATATATACATACATACATACATTGCTCATTTCGTATCATTTACATGTTTGAAGTTTATCGAATCTGGAGGTATTAGAGCTAAGGGATAACTTGCTACATCAGCTGCCCGATTCAATTGGTCAGTTAACTCGTCTCAAGGTCCTCGATGTTGGCAGTAACGCTATCGATAATGTGGTTAGTTGAGTGGCTGGCTGGTTTGTTGGTTGGTTGGTCGGTTGGTTGGCAGGTTAGCTCTGTCAGGTTGGCTTATTTATTGATTGGTTATTAATTAATTGATTGATTGATTGATTGATTGATTGATTGATTGATTGATTGATTGATTGATTGATTGATTGATTGATTGATTGATTGATTGATTGATTGATTGATTGATTGATTGATTGACAGCCTGACACCATAAGTTTCCTTGTAAATTTACAAGAACTTCGAATTGACTGCAACGAGCTGGTAGAGCTAACAGCAGTAAGTTTATTGTTATCAGTAGCCTTGTGATTATTATTATTATTGTCATTGTTATTGTTAATCAAATTTACAACTCAACTGATCAACAATCAATCAATCAGTCCCCTATCAACCATTAAACCAAACAACCAACCATCCAATCGTTCTAGGAAATAGGTAGTTTAAAAAGTTTAACAGAACTCGACGCCTCAGAGAACCGTCTAGATAGTCTGCCTCAAGAAATCGGCAACCTAACTTCACTTACAGATCTATATCTGGCACAGAATCAAATTGAATTCTTACCGGATGGCATAGGTCAGTTGGTCGGTCGGTCTGTTGGTTGATTGGTTGGTTGTTTTGTTGGTTGGTTGGCTTATCGCTTGGTCTGTAATTTGATTGGCTGGTCGTTTAAATAACGAATCATTAGCAGGGTTTTTTTTGTTTATTGTTTTTTATGGTTTTTAGATTGGTGGATTCTTGTTAAAAAAAATATTCAATTTCATTCGGCTGTTAGATTACTTTTTTTAAATTCTTATTCCCTAAAAATACCTGTTTTTAATTATTTTTTTCTACAATATTGAACTTATTACAGGAAATTTGAAAAAGTTAACGACATTGAAACTCGAACAAAACAGATTAGTTCAACTCACTTCCAACATTGGAAAGTTTGTATTTTTGTTACTACTGCTGCTGCTGCTACTACCACTACTACTGCTGCTGCTGCTACTACCACTACTACAACTACCACTAGTACTAATACTGCTGCTGCTACTACTACTACAGCTACAAATACTACTTCTGATGCTATGAACACTTAGCTATTATCACCAATACTATAGTTGCCATTACAACTAATTCTACGGCTGCTACTTTCTTTTACTACCAATACTACTGTTAATAACGCTGATACTGAAAATGAGTTTATCGCGATTTTACTATTTCTCCTACTTTTTTGTCACTCAACACACGTCATTAGTTTGGAATCAATTAAATCTTTTCAGGTGGCTTAATGCGTTGATATATTTTTCTCACTTATTTACTTAACTTAGTGTTACTACTACTGCTGCTGCTGCTACTACTACTACTACTACTACTACTACTACTACTACTACTACTACTACTACTACTACTACTACTACTACTGTTACATTTTTCTGTTTTAGAAGAGTATTTTAATTGAATTGATATTGCCAGCTACTAGGAGTATTATTACTAACGTGATTTTCTTTGCTGAATAGTTTTTTAAACTCTTCAAGTTTTTATTGAAAGATTAAAGTCTTAGAATTTATTTCAATGCATTTGATATAGTTGTGAATAATTATTTATTATGTTATTGTATTATATTATTAATTAAATTATAATTTTCCAGTTGCTCATCTCTGGTTGAATTGATTTTAACAGAAAATCTTCTGCTCGTTGGTTTTTTGTTTTGTTTATTCATTCATTCATTCTTACATTCGTTCGTTCATTCCTACATTCAATCATTTGTTCGTTCATTCATTCATTAATTTGTGTTTTTATTCATTCATTTATATATTCGTTTCTTCATTCATTCAATCATTCTTTTATTTGTTTCTTTCAGTTAATCTTTCTTCCAATGTTTATTGCAGCACATTTATTTATTTGTTCATCTAAAGGTTCATTCATTCATACATTCATTCATTCATTCATTCATTCATTCATTCATTGTTTTTTTCATTAATTCATATTTATTCATTAGTTTGTTCACTTCATTCATCCACCATTCACAAACAGACAATCACACACGTGCACACACACACACATACACACACACATCATTTGATTCCTAATTTTTCTTCCATTATTGACTCAATAGGAAAACTTCCTCATGTATAATATTATTTATTTTATTTTTATTATATGACGACGATGAAGGTGGTGATGAAATAAGAATAATAATAATAATAATAAACGTGATTGCATGTCTATTTTTCATCTTTTTTAATATATCTTGTTATCTCCATCAATTCTATTTTTAACTTTCTTGGATTTCCCCACCAGGAAATTCCCTCGACAATTGGGAAGCTGAAGAACCTCTCCATCCTCAATGTCGATAAGAACAGGCTGTCCAGTGTGCCTCCAAAGGTGACGACAGTGATGGTGACGACGACGACGATGATGGTGGTGACGATGACGAAGATGAAGATGATGCACGTACACAGTCACACACACACAATAACACACACAATCACACACACACAAACAGATAGGTGGCTGTACAAAATTAAGTGTCCTCTGCTTGAGAGATAACTCAATATGGAGACTGCCCCCAGAGCTTGGCTACCTGAAGGAACTACATGTTCTTGACGTTTCAGGCAACAGGTTATTCATTTACACACACACACACACACACCTACACACATACATCTACACACACACATCTACACGCACATACATACACACACACTCACACACAGATTACAACATCTGCCAATGAGCTTGAACTCTTGTAACTTGAAAGCGCTGTGGTTATCAGAGAACCAGGCACAGCCACTGCTGAAGTTTCAACAAGACATTGATGAGGAGACCGGTGATAAGGTTCTCACGTGTTTCCTACTACCACAGCAGGCTTACACCGATAGCATGGGTTATTATATTCACTGTCTTTTTGTTTTTCTTGTTCGTATTGCTATCTCTCTCTCTCAGATTTTTTTATAAAATAGCTTTTTAAAGCCTTTTTTCATTCACTCACTCATTTACTCAATTCACTGATTCACTCGTCTACTTTTTGAACTCATTTATTTCTATGTTTCACTCAGTCATCTATTATTTTATTTTTTATTTTTTTGCTGACCAGTTATTCACTCCCTGACCAGTTATTCACTCCCTGACCAGTTATTCACTCCCTGACCAGTTATTCACTCCCTGACCAGTTATTCATTCCCTGAAAAATTATTCATACACTGCAGAGAACCTTCTGAAAGACAGCTTCATGGTAGCTTCCGATCAAGATAGTCGATACACGTGGACTGACCATTCGAAGAGTCTCGTCAAGTTCGCTGAAGATATACATGATGAAGATAGTGACGAAGAGGTGAGTGGTTTCGATAAAGATTGTGACGATGACGATGAAACAGATGACATTCTGATGATTTGAATGATAATATGATGATGACAATGATTTCGCAATTTAGTTTAGCTGGTGTGAGAACCGTGTCTCATGCTATTCTTACATGCTGTCTTACGTGAAACTCAAATGTTATCACACGCCTCTTGCATATGACGCAGTTCGTGACTGCTTATACAGATGTGCTTGTGCATTGCAGCCCTTATGGCACTTGAGTTAATTCAAAACTACATGGGTTGACTATTAATTATTAACCATTTGTTGACCTGCATAAATGACACAGTGGTGATTTACAGTGACTAAATAGTATGGCAATGATGGTTTGATGTTTTTTTTTAAATTATTTCAGGCTGGTTCGCCTGTTGGAAAGAATAAAGATTTGGTTTGTTATACTTTTTTCATGTCCTTATTTTTCTGCCCTTCTAGTTTTCGCGCGTTCATCTCATGTTTGTTGCATTCTCCCAGTCATATTCTTAAACGAAATTTTACGTATTTCATATTCTCGTCAGCTGTCATTGCTATGCATCTCCATTTTTCTGTTTCGCCTTTCGTAACATGTGCATTTTTAAATACGTTGGTGATGATGACGATGATGATGACCTTGACCTTTAAAAAAAATGTCCGACATGCACAGCCGAATCCCTTCGTTCGGCACAACACGCCGCACCCGAAAGATTTAAAAACGAGACACAACAAGATGTTTGAGAAGAATGTTGATGGTCACATGATACCACACAAGTCTGGCAAGTCCAAGGTCGAAGTGGGTCGAACTTTTTTTGTATCGTTTGACCGGTATTGTATTTTTGTAAAGTCTTATTTTTCGGTATGCTATGGTTTGGTTAGTATTGAATATTTTTGTATTTTTTTTGTATTTAGTGCTTGTGATTTGGGTGGTATGGAGTTCATTTATATAGCGCTGTATTTTATTCTCATAATATTTAACTCTGCATTGTTGTCACACGTAAGACCTAGACTGGAGAACTGGATGTCTAAGTGTTGAATTTAGCTAAATTTTTGGATTTTTTTAGAATGACGTAATTTTTTTTTTAGTTTTTTCTTAAATAAATTTTTTCTCAAATTTAGAATGATTCAGGCTGTGAGATATCGAAATCTCCGAACGGCATATCAAATAATGGTCAGCTGATTCAACATGGCTCGTCAGTCGGTCAGTTTGCACTTTTAGTTTTTCGTTTTTATTTATTTTTATCGTTTTTTTTATTATAAATAAATATATTTTTAAAATTAATTTTATCCTAAAATATATTTTTAAAAATTTAAAAAAGAAAACAATTCTTTTTCTCTCCGCTTAGATGAAGATTACAGATCAATGGAGAACGCCTCACCAAATGGGATTCAAGTAAGTTTCTGTTCTTTGGTTTGGTGTCATCATTATCATTGTCTTTAACATCATCATCATCATCAGGAAAACCATCGTCATAACCATCATCATCACGATTACCATCATCATGACCTAAATCCCCACCCGGCAGGGACTTCACACAGCAACGACCCCCACGTCAGCTAACAACAGCTTACATTACCTCATCAACCATAACAACAACGGCTGTGATAATGACGTCAGCAAGGGAGATATGAATAAGAAGGAGGAGGTTATTTTGAGAATCATTAAAAAAAAAGGGGTCGGACTGGGGTTAAGTATTGCCGGGGGTCTTGGGTCCATACCCTATGAAGATGACGACGAGGTTTCTGTCGCGTTTCTGCCAATTATTTCATCGTCATTATCATTGCCGTCGTTTAAAACATCATCATCAACATCATCATCAACATCATCACCAACATCATCATCATCATCACCAACATCATCACCAACAGGGCATCTTCGTTTCGAAAGTGAACCAGTCGGGAGCTGCTGACAGCTGTGGTCTGAGGGCCGGGGACAAGATTATTTCGGTTGTTTTGCTGCTCTATATCATTAGCATAGTCATTTTTATTGTTCTATTTTCAGTGTATGACGTCATTAATATTAATTTGAATCGTTCTAATTCTATGTTAGGTTAATGGCAAGAGTATGGTTGACATTGAGCATGGGAAAGCAGTGGAGATTCTGAAGGCAGGTGGGAATGATATGGTGGTTGTTGTCAGTAGAAGGATTTGCAGCTGCCATTCCAACAATGGGGTGAGTCGTTATTCTATTTGTAAACAACTTTTATCAATTTGATTTTTGTTTGCTTTTGAAGAGTGATATCAATTAATTGATGTTTTTTTTATTTCATACGTTGAATTTCACAGGAATTTCCCAGTAACTCCAAAAACATGGCCAACATTAATTTCATCAACAACAACGACAACAACATCAACAACAATATCAACAACAACATCAACAACAACTTAGCGGCAAACGCCAGATCAACATCAACATTCCTCAACAGTACGTCCAGCTTAGCAGCTTCCGTAGCATCATCCTCAGCGTCATCCTTCTTTCCGCCGACACCGACCTCATCAGCAGCAGCAGCGGCAACAGCGATGCCGCTTCTCGTGACGTCATCCTCTACATTTCCGGCATTTTATTCGGATCATAGTTTAGCGGCTACATTCTCGTCGACACCGCAGCAACAATATCAGCAGCAGCAGCAGCAGCAAAACTATCACATGTCGACGTCGTTGTCGTCGTCGTTGTTTGTCAATCCGTCCTATAACTTATCCCCAACATCTTCATCGCCAGTTAATAACAACGGCGATTCAGTAAAGGACACCAGCGGTCAGCAACATCACCTCAATGCTAGCCACAAAAGTAATACGTTAGTGAGGTTGCTCTATATTGTTTCAGTGTGTTTTTCTGGATTTTCACATATTTCCAGTCAACAAGTTAAGTGCATTTATACTCTTTGGTCATCATTCTCGTCTAGATTCCATTTTATTATTATTATTATTTTATTATTATTATTATATTGTTGTTATCATCATAATCATCGTCGTCATCATTCAGTTCCTCTCTCTCCTTTTCGCCATCTTCCTACCCACTGGAGGAAATCCACGTGAACAAAATCAACGGTGCCCTCGGTCTGAGCATCGTCGGGGGGCTGGGGCACACGAGCCACCCCTTCGGCATCGACGAGCCTGGCATTTTTATTTCTAAGGTTCCGATTTCATTTTTTACTTCGTTTTTTTTTTATTTGTTTGTCTCATTTTTTCTTCCTTCCATTCATATATATACAGATGTATGCGCAAATGTATTTTTATCCTTCTCTCTCTCTCTCTCTCTCTCTCTCTCTCTCTCTCTCTCTCTCTCTCTCTCTCTCTCTCTTTCTCTCTTTTCTTTCTTTCTTTCTTTAGTCATCTGTATGTTCGTTTGTCTATCAAGTTTTAAAAATGTTCTGTTAATACCTTCGTCAATGTTATAGCTGCTTTTATCTTTATATTTATATAAAATTACTAAATTCTGTACCATCTCGTTACCTCATCATGGCCACAGATAACGAAACACGGGCCAGCCTCGCGCACATCCCTGCGAGTGGGGGATCGGATATTGTCAGTGAACGGAACGGACGTTCAACACGCGACGCACCAGGATGCCGTGTCGGCTCTCGTGGCTCCCGAAACTACTGTGGTACTCCTGGTCAGAAAAGATCCGCAGCCTTCCGGAATGATGGTTTGTTTGTCCGTCTGTGTGTGTGTGTGTGTGTGTGTGTGTGTTGTTTTGTGTGCGTGTGTTTACGTGCATTTATGGTTAACTTTCTATATGTGCAATTGATTTCTCATTCCCTGATGTTTAGGAGGTGGCACTGACGAAAGAAGCGGACGAGCAACTGGGACTGACCATCGTGGGGGGAGTTGGAAGTGACGAAGACAACGACGATGACTCAAGGAACGCCCTCAGAGATGAGGGAATATTCATATCTAGAGTTCGTACTATTTCTATAATTATTTTAACTATAATATTTCCCTACACGGCAAGGTGGTATAATGGTTAAGGCGCCTGGTCCTGCTGTTGCAGTGACTGGATTCAAATGCAAGAAGATCCCCGCATATCACAAGCATCGTGATATTTAGAGAGAATTAGTAGCAATAAGATGACAATAATTTATAATAATTATATTATTTTTATGTATCTGTTTGATTATTTCTTTATTTATTTGTCACCCACCCAGATCATACCGAACACTGTGGCTTCTAGGTGCAACAAATTGAAGGCAGGCCAGAGAATATTAGAGGCATGTCTATTTGTTCTTTTTTTCCTTCTGTCTATCCTACATTCATTCATCTTTTAAAAGACTGTCAATCCATCATCAATCATCATTCATTCATCCATGTATCATTTTTTCCAACAAAAATATGTAGCATTCATCCACTCGTCCTATATTTCGTCCGTAGATCAAACGGATTTTTATACATTTTATTTAATTGCCGTTGTATTATGTATAATCATTTTTACATTATCGTCATCAATCTTTGTCAATGTCATCATCTTTTTCATCGTCATCATCTTTTTCATCGTCATGTTTTTCCTCCTCTTTCTCTCTTTCTTTTTTTTCCTCTTCTTCCTATCTTTCTTTCCCTAATCTGTGCATTTACTTCCTTTCTTTGATCTCTCTCTCTCTCTCTCTCTCTCTCTCTCTCTCTCTCTCTCTCTCTCTCTCTCTCTCTCATGACGTATGCACATACTTGCATGCCACGCGACATACACACGCCACACAAGATATACACACACACTCTCTACACCACACTCACGCCACGCGACATACACACGCCACACAAGATATACACACACTCACCACACCACACACACGCCACACACAGGTTAACGGTCATACAATGCTGGGCATTAGCCAGAAAGAAGCGCTGACCATTTTCTCCGAGAACTCGACCAAAAATTTCGACCTACTCGTCTGCGATGGCCTCCAAATGAAAACAACAACTATGACGTCATCGTCTTCGTCATCCAATCAGAATCAGACGACAACAAATTCGCGTCACTTTGTTAATAATGCCGGCTGTGGAGAGGATGGCAGAGATAAATATCAACAGGTTTGTATTTCTTTGTCTATGTTTGTCTGTTTGTTTATTTGTTTGTCTTTGTTTGGACGTTTGGCTGTTTGTTTGTTCACCTGTTTACTTGTTTGTCTGCTTGTATGTTTGAACTTTAACTTGTCTGTCTCTTATTGACGGATATTTTTATAATGAGAAAGTTAAGTATTATTATAGTGGTTCCTTATATTTATTATTAAATATTATTTAATGTTAATAATATTTTTATTTTGTTGTGTTATGGTCATTTTTCGTTGCCAATGTATTAAATTATCTTTTAATTCGTGCAAATTTTATGAAAATGAGAATAATTTATTAGTCATCTGCAACGAGTTTGTTGCTTTTGGTGAATTAAATTTCATACACTTTTGTGCGTGTGCATGTTGTGTGTGCGTGTGCGTGTGTGTGCGTGTTTTTAAATATTTTCTGAATTGATAAAATTTGAAAGTAATGTTTAAATAATAATAATAATATATCATTTATTTTCTGATGTTGTTATTATTGTTGTTATTATTATTTGTATTAATATTTATATTACAATAATTATTGTTATTTTTATTATTCTTGTTGTCACATTTAATTTTTATTCAAACAAATTTTTTTCCTCCTCTGTAGAGCTGACCATAAAAGGACTCTTGCGTTATGATGATGATAATAATAGCAATAATAATAATAATAATAACAATAACAAATATAATTATTATATTATTAATAATTATGTTTTCATTATCAGTTACACATGATATAATACATACATACACTGTCCATATATTGCTATGTGATTTCGTTCATTTAGTTTATTTTCTATGAACATGTATAGATTAGCTTGAACTTAAAATTACTGTCTAGTAATAATGCGTTGTATTCGTAATAGTATTATAGTATTATTTATGGTAGTGATATAATAATTATAATTATTTCATTAATAATTATGTTAGTTATAATTATGTTAGTAGTGTTTAGATAGTTTTTTGTTTTTAAAATTGTGTATATGTATAGAAATTATTTGATTCCTTGTATATTTTTACCTAATTTTTTATTTAAATTAATACTTTTTAACTTTCTTCGTTTGCCTATTATATGAGTTCATTCATTCAATTGTATCACTATTGTATTCACTTTCTCTCTATCTGCATGTTTGTATTTTGTTTCGTATACCTCTTTGTATGTTTACCTATTTATGCATATGTTTGTGTAGCATTGTTTAGTTAGCATTGTTTNGTATATTTA